CAGACTTGAACGGAGACCAAACGTTTGCACGTCTACATTCCGCCAATGTACAATCCTGCTGTCAATAGAACGAAGCTTAGGCTCCGGAAGTGCAGACGTAGAACGTGATACTAGGCACAACATCGACATCGCTACCGCGCATCTGATGGCAAACAACTGTCACGACCATAAATGTGCGATCAGGGGAAGGGGGGTGCACCCCTCCCCTAGTGATATAAGAGGGGCGTACCAGAAGAAAAGGAAATGATATTGGAAACATCAAGCTTGTAATGCCCTTTAATTATTTGGTAAAGAAATTGTAGTCGTATTAAACGATTTCTTTCGGTAACTGAAGGCTCATTGGCACGATGTAAGAATTCAGTTGTAGAGGTGCGTCCAAAGCTATTAAAGATAAAGCGGACTGCCTTTTTCTGCACGTTTTCCAATTCAGTTATGTTAGCTTTAGTGACGGGGTCCCAAACAATCACTCCATATTCTAACACTGGGCGAATGATAGTCCTGTACGCTAGAGTACGCACCGTGGAATTAGAATGTTTTAAAGCTCTTCGAAGGAAGAATAGTTTTCGGTTAGCGTTTGTAATTACGGAGTCAACATGTTTAGTCCAGCTAAGGTCCTTGGTAATCCAAAGGCCAAGATACTTAATGTTAGTTACCTCAGAAGGGGTGAAACTTGCGGTGGCGCCAAATCTTCCCCATACCTTTACTGAGCAGGGCCTTTCACGCCTATTCTTTAATGTACAGGGTCACGGCCACCCATGTTTGTGTTCTTTCTCTCTTTATACCCTGACAAGGGCTGCTTATCCCGGGAAAGCCGGGACCATCGACAGGCCGCTTTGAAAAGCAGGTCCATCGCTTCATTTTATCCTTGCATCCTATTGCCGACACTGTGTTCTCTCAGACTCGACAAAGGACGAGACGGACGCTGCGATGGAACCCCCAGATGGAGAAAACCCCGCGCCCGCCCACAACCATCAAGCAACCGGCATTTCATGGACACGAGTCCCCCAAAACCACCCAACAAGCATGCTTGGAGCGAGTGCACACCGAGACTCGCGCTAGTCTCCTTATCGGTCGCATAGCGGTTATCTGCGAGCGCTTCACACAACGCAGTCGGGGGCTGCTAATCCCGACGGGTGCGATAACGAAGCACGCAAAGGGCGCCGACAAAGAACATGCCGACAGTCTCTTATCAGCAGTTGCAAGAAACGCGCGAGGGGAGTAAGGGGCCCGAACAACCACGTAAGACGCACGGGACCTTTGGCTAAGCACGTGGTAACTCTAGGCACGTGTTAACTCCGTGTCTATAAATGCACGTGCGAAGTGCGAGCTGTACGGGGCCCGTGCAGAAGGGCCTGCGTTTGCGATCCAACTAGACATTTATGCAACCACGTGCAGCACAACAGTGAAGAGATTGTTTGTATAACACTGTTATGAAATAGACGAACATTACAGCTACTGAGCGCTTTTTTTTTTACAGCTACCGACTGCTCGGCAGCATCTGCTCACACTTCAACGGTGATAAGCAGTCGCGTTTGGGGTAGGCAGTTTCAGCATACTATATATATATATATATAGTATGCTGAAACTATACTATATATATTATAGTCTATCTCTCTCAAACTTCGACAGCGTTGATGAAACGCTGTATCGTGTCAGCAAAATCAATGTGCAGTGGCTTAACCCCCCCTCCCCCTACACACGCACACACACACTGGCGTCAGCGTTTCAGAAACGACATTTAATGCGTCGCCTAACAATACGCAACAATGCTTCTTACCGTACGGCAACAATGCGCTCTTTTTTTTTAGTTATACGAACGTGCGCCGCGGTGTTCAAAAACCTGATAAGGCAACGTCACGTCAAGCATATGCAGTCGCGATGCGCTTGTTTCTACACCGTATTGCGAAGCAGTTGGGCTTCTATACATAAGTGAGGAGTCTCATCTCATCCCTGACCTCAATACATACGGCCAAAGGTATACGTACACTCTGTTCCATGCAGGCGAAATTCCTTGAAGGGCGTGCAACGACAGAAACGTTTTGCCGACATGAGACGATTAAAACAACGAGGAAAGGAAACGACGCGAAAAACTGAAGAGAGTAAAGTAGCAAGCACTACGCACGTCGAGGGCTTGTCCGAGATGCCTCGAAAACGAAACAATAACCCCACCTGACGGCTTCGGCGAGTGTCGTGACTTGTTACAAGGCCTCGGACAGTAAGAATGCGTCACTTAAAAACGCGACCATGCTCTCCTCTAGTAATGTCCTTACAGCATTCGACTCTATCATATAATAACATAATGTTGCCAAATGCACGCATGTGTAAATGGAAAACAATAAATAAAATATTAATTGAGCTGCTCATCCGGCATACTTCGATGCGTCCAGGACTAGCTTTACTGACTGACGGTAAATCTCGCTGACTTCCCTACGTTACACTTCTACTCAGCAGTGGTCTCGCAAAGCTCTGAATGAATGAACTAACTAACTAACTAACTAACTAACTAACTAACTAACTAACTAAATAAATAAATAGCTTTTCCACGTATTTCGGACTGAGGAGCGACAAGTAAAATATCTTGATTTTCAGTGACGAAGCTTCCTTCGTATATAAGTAAGTACGAGCTGACATAATAATGATAATAATAATAATAATAATAATAATAATAATAATAATTGTTAATGTTAGTGTGAAAGCGTGGTGTACGGTTAATTTCTCGCTCTCACTGAAAATGCGCACATGACTACAACACGTCATAGATGTATACCCGTTATCCCACCGGTTTCCAATAACGGCAGCTCATGGGCTGCGGCGCCTCTATATGCTGTTCCTGCTCGTTCTTGGCGAAGGTGCCCCAGTATAGTATACAATTGTGCCATTCGGTAACACCCGCGCGTGCCCTGAGAAACGGTGCGATCAAAGCGATCGGACGGCAGCCATTAGGCGATAAACAAAGAAGGACAAGCAGGCGGAAGTAGGGCACCCGCTCTGGAACGACGCCGACTAACATGGTGGGCACACTGCGGCGGTTCGCTGCATTCGCGTCGCATCGCTTTTACGCAGCGTTCGTCGAGCGCACACTCAGCGGACCCCAACGGATGTACAAACCTGCTGTGTTTCTGCAGAATCTGGGAGGGCTTAGCCGGACTGTATAGAACATGAAGGTGTCAACCGATTGATTGATATGTGGAGTTTAACGTCCCAAAACCACCATATTGATTGATTGATTGATATGTGGGGTTTAACGTCCCAAAACCACCATATGATTATGAGAGACGCCGTAGTGGAGGGCTCCGGAAATTTCGACCACCTGGGGTTCTTTAACGTGCACCCAAATCTGAGCACACGGGCCAACAGCATTTCCGCCTCCATCGGAAATGCAGCCACTGCAGCCGGGATTCGAACCCGCGACCTGCGGTTCAGCAGCCGAGTACCTTAGCCACTAGACCACCGCGGCGGGGCGAAATGTCGTATATATCAACCAGTGTTTCGTATCAAACGAGTTTGCCGGAACGCGAGTGCGGATGACTCCCCCAAAATGCGGCGATAGGCTTCTTATCAGTGCCAGATTTGAGACGCACAGTGGGGAGCCGCCGCGCGACAGCCGTGCTACAACCGAAAGTACAGCGCACACAGAGGCGCCTTCGGTGTACGCGATTCCCGTTAAGGAGAAGAAAAAAAAAACACTGCAGACTTTCCTCGGTTACAGAAACTGGTTGTTCGCGGCAGATCAGGTTTAGCGGAATTCTCGCTCGTTACGTGACTCGATCGCAGCAGCATTGTCACATGCCCAACAACGACGACGACGACAACAACAACAACAAAAACAACAACAACAACAACACAGATTTGGCTTTTCGCTTGTATCTTCCTTCAAAAAGTTTCCTCCACAAAAAAAAGGCGCCGACGCGACTTGTTTCGGCGAGGTGACGCCGGCGTCACCGGCGCACGCGGCATTCTTGTGACCGTGCCAATGGCGACACCCAACACTCACGTACGTCCTCGTCATCCATCAAAACACGTGATGCCCGTTCCACGCGTTGCAAGTTAAGTCAGCCTTGCAACGGCAGCGCCGCGGAGGACACAAACCCGAAACAAGATGATCGCTTATGCTGTTTATCTACGTGTAATGGTTATCACCTTCCTTATACGCGATAATCGGTTCGCGTGTGGCAGTGACGCAGAGAGAAGTCCGCGCGAGCAGTCCAGTCCGCACACGTAACGAACAAAAACAGCTCAGAGAGGAGGCCACATCGCGGTGACGTGGCCTCGGCATGCTCTATAATTGACCGCGTGAGCCATGCATCCCACTGATGAACTTTAGAAAAGAGACAGGGGCGCGTCCGGAACCTCGAGAACACGATCGCGGAACCGCGGCTAACGTTAGGCCTACGGGAGAAACGAGTCTGCGCGTTCCTTCCTCGGCTCGTTTGTTCGTTCCGAACGGAGTTCGCTTCTTGTCGTTCCCGACCTTCTGCGATCGCAAGGAGCGGAGGGCGACCGCCTTCGTGCGGATCGCGTTGTTTACGCGATATCACCGCCCTCACCGGCCATTCTTCCCGTTTGACCGGTATTGTGCCGCTAAAAAAAGCACGCGGCAGGCCAACAGCACACACCGATCTCGGGGTCGCGGCTTTGATATGCGGACTTTACGAGCGAAGCGACCCGGATCGTGAACGAGCCTCGGAAGGAACAGCGACCTCCCCCAACTAGGCCTAACCGCCGGAGAAGCGGCAGCTGAAAAGGTGGGCAGGCCGTGCTTCCCCGACAAGCACAAGCGACGCGGTGCGGCCCACTTTCGAGGAGCCAGCCGGGAGGGCGGCCCCGTCCTGCATCTGGCCGCATCTGCCGCAACATCGCAATCAACAGGTGGCCAACCGTAGACGGAGACGCGGTCCCGCGCTCGGATCTCGGGTTCCTTCGCATTCGAAACGAAAAAAACGCTCGAGCAATCCTGGGAAAGAACGAGACGTGCGAACAATCCGGCAGGCGCGACTCACCGAGCAGTGGCAGCGAAGAAGCCTCTGGGAACACTGCGTGGCTGTGGCAGAAGACTGGGAGAAAGAAGGCCAATCTCTAAACAAGACAGCCGTGGCAGCACCGGGGTGGACGGAGGAACGAAAACTTTTTCCGTAGTAATGTTATCCCAGGTATCTTCGCGTCAACTTTCTGCTCGGCCTTCTTCGAAGGAGTTTCACGGCCGAGTCTCGAGGAACTAGAACCACGCGCACAACAACACGACGGAACACAAGATATGCGAGCTCCGTCGACCGGGCAGACACGTCCCACAGTCTGCTGGCGTCCTCGTCGTCACGTCACATGACGGCGCCGTTTTCTTTCAGCGATCATCGAGACACGACACCGCACCACACAGAAAATCACGAGTGCGGGGTGCAACAACACCGCCGCTGCACGGAGAAGGAAGAAGAGTCGAGAAGAAGCCAGGCAACAACACCACCGGGGCCAGGCCAGCCAGCCGACCAACTATGGTCGCGACAGCAGCAAGCGCAGCGGCAAGGGGGGGCTGGCTCCGCGACTTTGGGCAGCCCGGCAAGTGGTTTTCGCGTCCAAGGTAGCGAGATTCCTACGCAGGCGGGCAGGTAGGCAGGCAGGCAAGCGGGCGGCCGGGGCGCGCGATGAGGGCGAGGGGAATACTGGCGGGATTAAGGAGGGAGAGGGCAGAAGAAGGGGGCCCGGACGGCCCCGAGCAGCAGAGTCTCTCAAGAAAGAGCGGCACGAATGCCCGAGGAAACGAAGAGAAAATAAGAAAACAGTCAACACTATCAAAGCGCGCAGGTAAAGGGAGAGGCAGCGCGCACCGAAGGCTCTCCTCCCCCTTCGCTCGCTCTCCTTGGCGGAGAAACAGATAGGTGCACGAAGGAGAAGCGGCGCGGAGAAGAGAAAGACAACTTGCACCGCCGCGAGGCAGCAGCGAACACCTTGCACGGGACGATTCTTCGTGCGGCGGTGGCGGGGGGACTTCCCCTTCTTCTTGCAGATCCTCCTTGCTCTCTAAGACGCCGCTTGCCCGGTCAGCTAGCTTCGCTGCGCTCACCTTCGCGATCTTTCTTCTTTTTTTTTCCATTTCTTTTTCAATTGCGTAAACTTCTTCCCTCGAGTTTCGCGCTTCTCTTTTCCCTCCCTCACGCAGGTTACCCGATTGGTGTTGCCAGATGAGAAAGCGAAAGCGCGTTACATTCGGATTGTGGCAGCTGCAAAAGAGAATCGGAAATTTCTGAAGCGCAAAGTCGTTTATTGCTCTCATCGTTCGCTAATTTCTTATCAAAAAAAAAAAAAATTCCCACTGATTCCCTCAAAAACGAGTACAAAAGGCTGCCAGAAATCGTCCGCGAACTTGATGGAAAACAACGCGGCTTATTGTAGCAGTAATGCATCAGCAACTATGTTCCATCTACGCAACAGACCTCCTCTGTCGCCCCACCCCCTCCTCTCTCCTTCTTTCTCAATCCTGTGTCTCTGACGCCATCTCCAATGTCCTCCCCAATGTCCTCCCCTAATAAGGAAAAGAGGGGACCAGTTGCGTCAGTCAAGCGTCAGTTCTACTAACAGATGCAGAATTCGCATTTTTGGACGTCACATAACCCAGTGTTTTTTTTGTGTTTTTTTGCTTTTAGGAGTCGATGAATTATTTATTGCATTAAAATTGCAGCGTTTATTATTGACAATCAATGAACAAAACACACACACAAGCAAATGCTCATATCGACGAGAGGCGGCACAAGAGGAGGAGAAAACAATAATAAAGCGAGGTGCTGCCACATTGAATAACAGAGGCATAGCAAACGTGTCCCGGTTTACGGAGTACAGAGACACAGAAGTAATGGATACCGGCAGCCATCAGCAGAAGTGGGAACGAGACAGTGTTCTTAACCGCCAAAACGTCGGAAGGTTCAATATTAATAGGTTTCAAGTTGTTCTACAGCCGGATGGGGAAAAAACGGGGGGGGGGGGGAATTTCCGAGGCGTTGACGACTGTCATTGCAATCCGTCACAGTGGTAATAGCATCGCTCCACGCGGTTCCATTCAACAATGGAAGATGGAGACACTGGCGCTGCCCTCGAAGTCTTAATGGCTCCATGCAGCATCCCATGGATGAAAATACGTATGAGGTAATTAAAGAGACGGCATAGAGCTTTCTAATGCCCCTCACGGCACGCCTATCTATGCAAGCAGCGTCCAACATTCAGACAATAGATATGTATACTGTTCATATGTAGATCGCGAGGGAAAAAAGTATATGCCGAACGATCAAAAGAAGGGCTTATAGAACAGCTGGCCGTATACTACACGAATGCAACCGCACGGTTGAACGGAACTACGACACTGTTGAGACGCTGAACGCTGAGGCCGGAAGTGCGCCGAGAAAGCGACAGCGTTTCCTTAAACGCCCCGCCCACGAGCGTGCCGAAAATAGACGGTTCGTGAAACGGGACAAAAGCGAGACGGCCGACCGTGCAGGGAAGGTCGAACCACAGTGCCGTTGTTCCCCTCGCCGTAAACAAAAAACACCGCTCGGGCAGCAAGCAGCGCTGTACACGGGGAGATTAGAGCGGTCCGTCATTTTTCCGCGCACGCATCTGGACAAATGCATCGCGAGGAACAAAAATCGATCCTTACCGCAGCCGCCCAGTACCACGAAGAAGGCAAATAAGTTTGATTTTTGTCTTTATCCCCTTCTTCATTTCAAGACACTCAATATTACATTCCAAGAACGACAACGAACCAATGTGTTGCTTCGTGTCAATTTCAGTGACTATTTATAATTATTATGTAATTAAAAATTTAGTTTCCTTCAGTCAGTCAAGATTCCATTTAGCCACGAAAAGAATGAAATCACAGACTCCGAAAGTGTGCACAGGTAGTTTTTGGTTGTATTCATTTTGGGAAAGGAAAAGTAGTACTTTTGCCTTTCAGAAGCGCGGCACGTCGAACGACCCGTCGTCGCACACCGCAGTAGCTTCACCAAAGTAACTGATTACAGTCACACGCGGCATGATGAAAGTCAAATCAAGACAATTTGACAATGGAGACGGTTCAGTTCATTCAATGGGAAATGTATATTGATCTCGTTTCGCCACAACGCATTGATCACCAGCATAAGGTTGCCATTCCGTTTTGCCGCACCAAATTCTTTTCAGCAGCCTTCTTACCGAAAACAGCCGCCGATTGGAACCACCTTCCCTCTTCCGTTGTAACAATAACAGACCCTTTGTTATTCAAGACTGCAATTTCTCAGCAATGCTTGTAACTATACGCAGTTTCCATTATCTATCTTTGTCTTGTATGTGCTTGGATTCTTACTTATACATTTTTAGTTGACTTATGTTGCCTTCCTGATTTGCGCATCTGACACTTGTTTCTTTATTTTGTCTTTTTTTTTCTTGTGTGTTATAAATGTTGTACCCACCCCCTCTGTAATGCCCTACGGGCCCTGAGGGTATTCTAATAAATAAAAAAATAAATAAACTTGACTCAACACCTCCGAAGGGGCTACTCTGGTACCGAAATTTCGCGTATACTTCAAGATCGCGCACGCAGCCGACCGCATCGATAAGTGAGAAATCTGTTTATGCTTATTCATTCTGGTAGTAAAGAATGGAAGCAAACTCATCTCAACTGACCGCATTCTCTCGGTGCCAGTCCTTAGTTTCGTGTTTTTTTTTTTTTTCATGCGCAGGTTACTCAGCGCTTCACGTATGCATTCGAGGCATTTTATATTTACCGCACGACGCTGACAGCTGTCAGTCACTCGCGATCGTTGGTGTCAATATAGACGGTTTCAAGATTAAAAGCGTTGTGCCCCCAAAATACTTCCGGTCACCTTATTTACCAGCTCGTAACGCCAAAACTGAAAGGACGTTTTCACGTTTTTTTCAAGGCTAAGGAAAGTCTCTTATTAGTTTTTCAGATAAAAAGAACGTGCCTAATGTTAAAGGCTATCTCTTGTAGTTTTCATGTAGCCTAAAAGAACATTTATATGAATATATTTTGCCAAATGATGGAAGAAAGTGTAGAAAATCAGCGGGTGATTTTTTAGCGGTCTTCTTGCCCACCTATACCATTCAGGCTGCACATCGGTAGACGAAACCGAGAGACATCAAGGGCTTGTAAACACTGAAAGGGTCTATACAGGTGCCCATTTGGGCCTTATGGCCGGTATCTCCCTCTGAATCGTCTCGGCTCGCCCTCCACACCCGGAGTGCACGACAACCGTGTGTGTACGGCTGCAAAACACATCGGCCAGCCAAACGTTATAGCTGATTGTTGCGATACTACGAACGAGGAAATCTAATTTCGCAAATGTTGCCGGCCCTGAATACTGATGTTCTTGCGTCTTTCTCGTATACGCAAGCGCATTGTGTGGAACCCATTAGGCGCCTGCTGTCTTCTCAGGAAGTTCCTCTCATTCTCACCGATTCGACAAGTTCAGGTTCTGCGCGATGGTATAAACAGTGCCACTCGGGTGAATAGGGAGGGAGGGGGGGGCAACATTATTCATACAAAGTGACTTATTTACGCCATAGGAAACACCCTGCTGCGCATGGCGCTTCGCCGCCAGTTGGCAGCGTGAAAGGGCGCGTTCGGCCGCGCAGAAACCGACGCGAACTGTATACCACTTCCGTGCGCGCCGCAGCAGCACCGAGTTCTCGAATGCGATGCAAAGTGCGCCATTTCGGTCGTCAAAGTGTGAAATATGTATGAAGCCCGAGCACACGCTCGGCGAATCTCGTTCGCGACGAAGGAGAGCCGAGGAAGTCTTTTGATGATTCCGAAACGCGGTGTATACCGGCGCGCGCATTCGAAATCGCATTCACTGTGTTTGTGAGAGAGCGATTACACATATAGGCGGGAACATGCTTATGCACTTGGACGTGCATGCATGTCGGACCGATGCGCGCTCCCTCTTTTGGAGTTCGCTTAGCATTCACCGTGGTGCTGGTTCGCCTAATCTAACAAGTGTCATGGCGGAGGTGCTTCCCACTGAGAGCCTCTAGTATACTTGTAAACCTGCACGCGAGCGGTGTCAGGAAGAGCACGAAGTTGCTAGCGAGTAACAAATACGCGACGCTTGTTTAATCCGAAACCGCGGCAGTAACTGCATTCGTATACTATACGCAGATTTGTGTCAAATATTCTCCATCCAACGCGTACGTGCTGGATACAGACGCACAGCTGTGGCGCGCTCTGAAATGAAAGGTGCTCCTTGTCATGTCGTTCGCGGATGTTCTGTAGGACACTGTAAAAATCAGTAGCAGGCAGCTATACATGTGACGTAAGTCCTAGACGAGGTCGCGCGATATCAATCTGCTCTTTATTTTTATTTTTTATTTTTTTTAGGGGCGAAGCTCCTTATGGCGTGGCTTGGGCGTCCCTCGTAGTACGTAACCACCAGTGGCACATACCCGAAATAGGTATAACATTTGACCTCCAAGGTGGTGCCGGTGAGAGATTTCTTCTGTTCGTTGTTTAACAATAAAAAATAGTGCTCAATGTACATGCCAATGGCTGCTAATGGGGAATGAGAGACAGGAGCATTCGGCTTTTAGTCAACGCGCACGCTGCGATCCCCA